ACTTTCACACAAAGCTTCATGGGGGGAAGTTTGCAATAGAAGTAATAGCAAGAAACTTGTGTTAACGCCTATCTAACATGTCAAGCCTGTGTAAAGCCCCAGCCTGCGCATCGCGTACCATTGTCGCATCTTCTCCAAGGTCGATTGGGCGCATTTTGCTAGTGGCTGAGACACTAGATATTGCCATGCGGTCATGTTGGCACGCGTTTGTTCCTTTGACTAGGCGATGTAGTCGATAGTTTTATGGCGAGGGCGATGCAGAGCTGTGCTGTGTGTGGTACAGGTTCTGTGTGCAGGCGCTGTACTGTGGCAGGTCAGGTGCCATAACGACACGCGTTCTGGTAGTGCACGGATTGTGCCCCGGGCCACGTTTGCACCTGCGATAATCCCGCACTTGGCGAAATTAGCAGAGGCACGTCTTTTGATGCGCCTGCGGCCACCACTACCGCTGCGCAGTTTCAGGGCCGCTACGCGTGCACGGCCACGCACACCAAAGCTGCGCGCCCCTGTCATTTCACACCGTCTGGCTAACACAGTCTAACCATTGGCTTGGGGCAACAGAAAGCGGGAAAGCAACTCAGGAAGACCGCCATAATTCCTCATGCACCGTCCCGTGTAAGAGCAGCAGGCTGTGTGGTTTAGGTCCAGCGTCGCTCACGTGGGCCACCATCACAACCTAGGTAGCGGTGTGATGCGTACATGATATTCACCATCACATGCAGATGTCTCCTGGTCATTCCCACCCATCGCCGGCAAGTCTATGGGTGCCTATACTCGTACAGTCTCGTCCTGCTAGATAGTCGCTGTTGCATCGCTCTGTTGTTGGGAAAGGACAAACACTAGGGAGGAAAGCCTATGGACGGGAACCCTTCATTATTACAAGATTTGTGGAGCGACAACGCTGGTAAGGTACCTTGGACCGAATTAAGAGGCATGAGAGGTCACTGTGCACCTTGCCTTCTCACCATGTTTCGCCAGCTTGAGCAGCAGCACACACGCTTTTAGCTGCAATCACAATACTACTGCCTGCTCCCTCTTTCAGTCTCTCAATCCTTTCACACTATCATGTAACATCTGCATTCACCAGAATACCCTTCTTTTACGCTGAGGACCAGCAGCGTATGCATTGCGCCTATCCTGAGTTCTTCAACCAAGCCCGAGGGCGAGTATAAAGCGTTTCTTTCGCTCACGTACTGACATTGCTAGGAAGAAACTGCTCTTTGCCCAGTGTTCCAGAGAAAGTCATACCAGAAGTGGTCATCTATGTGCACCTTCATTGCGCGAGGGTATCGATTCCCCAGAGCTCGACACGAGAGAAGACAAGTCTAAACACGGCGATGCAAGGGCGCAGAGGAGCTCAGCGTCTCTTGCATGTAGAAATAGCTTCCTCCGCTCAGCGGGACCGCCGAAGCCTAGACAGCATAGTAGACGACCTGTTCCTGACCAATCTGATTGCTAACTTCGCTCAGATACGAAAGGCCAGCCTGCTTCAGGTGTGCAACAGCATGCCGGAAGGGCACAGAACCTATATACCAAGCTTCTCACTATCCAGACGGAGTGGCAAGACAAACACACGTCGGACTTTGACAAGATTCTACATGGTTGCAGCATTCAGGTGTGGGATACGCCGTCTCTCATGGCGCAGCAATTGACGAGCAGTAATTCCTGATTCATGATCTCTGCAGGAAAGAAGCTGACGCCAATAAGTTGTCTGAACTCAACCGTCGAGAGAATGTAAGACAGCTCTGGACGTGGCCCATTGATCGAGCGAATCTCAATCAGCCCCTCCGTAGAGACCCCGTGTTCAAATTCACAGATACTACCCATGCTGTGCAGTACAGCAGTGTCGTCAGAAAGGCTCATGCTGACCACACCTATCACGCCGGGAATAGTGAATACATCGCTGGAAACGCGCACGCCGAGGGTACAAACAATGTCGATAACAATGATGAAACTACTGGAGACATTCACCTTGAGTTTCCGAACAGCGTCGAAGGCAATCAGGTACCAGCAAACTTTATTTAGCGGCGGCGGGAGCAGACTGTATAAAGAACTGCCCGCTAAGTAGTAGCCATAAACTTACAACTCATCTCAATTACAACCCCGCAAAGTTGCTGACATTGAATCGCCTGCCGCACCTGAAGACCTTTCCACACAATGGTTCGCATTACAATCAACAGGACCGGGGGAAACACCACCATCGGCTTCAGCGAGCTCGACGACACCAGCGGCGTCTATATAGAAGGCATGCCTTGCACCTGCGCACATGCGACATCGCATCACGAATCGGGTAACTTCGGTGCCGGTCATGTGGGTACTACTGGTGGACCCGGATTACCTGGAGGAGCCAGATCTGAAGACGGCACCCAAACTACCACCGATCGTTACACGGGCACACAAAGCAACTTGGGAAGGCAAGAGTCTAATCTTGCTACTCAACAACCTCTTCCGTCGACGACTGGAATAACTCCACCCGTATCCGACTGCCCCTTTCAAGAGTCCGCAGACCTGTTAATGACTAGACTTGATCGCCTAGAACTATTGATCGAGTCGACAGAACGATCGAGAACTAGACACCCAGCACAGGGTCTGTTGTCTTCTCGATCTCTCGCAAGTGCGCCTGTTCCGTTGAGTCAGGAGACACTACATCAACAACGCCAAGATCGTCTCGATCGGGGTCCAAATATTGTTGACATGCACGATAACGACTTTCACCATAACGTAACTCGTCCTCTTGCCCTTAACGACAACGAGTCCCACGAGCCGCCAGAGCAATACCCGGAAGAAAATCCAGGACAGTTCCTAGCGCAGTCCATGAAGAGCGGCATAGACCGGCCGCTTCAACCCGATGCGCAAAAAGATCCAGATCCGTACACGATGACCGGCGCAGACGGGCCACTTCAACCTGATGCGGAAAGAGAAGATACGTACGAAATGACCGGCGCAGACGGGCCACTTCAACCTGATGCGGAAAGAGAAGATACGTACGAAATGACCGGCGCAGACGGGCCACTTCAACCCGATGCGCAAAGAGACCCAGATCCATACATGGAGAGCAGGATGGACAGGCCGCTTGGGCACGATAGACAAGATGCTCGAGCTCAGTCCATGCGGAGCGAGTCCTATAGGCCTCTAGATTCTCCTCCTGACAATCTCGAGCCCGAATTCGACCCTGTACGAATATGCCTACTTGGCATCACGTATTTGGTTTACATCATCGCTGTAGTCGTTGTCGTCTTTGTCGCAGCAGACTGGCTCTTTCCAGTCGACGAGCTCCCCCTTATTTAAGTCAACGATTTCACAGTTATAACAGTTTTCAATGTCAATCAAGCCATTCCACGGAAGCACTCTCAGTGAATTGATAGAGCACAGCACAGTTCTAGATCTTGTTATAATCTACGTAGTAACAATGTATTTATCTCGAAAGAGTCTAAGTAGTATGCTGTACGAGAGATCTGGGACAAAAGACGCAGACTACTTGAGCTCAACTGCGCTAAACGTGACTGAGGAAAGTGTTAGGTGAATCCTTATTGCCTTACGTGTGAAATCCAGGTGATCTAAGATGCCCTTCCACTCAAGTGCATATCTGTACTCAATACCAGGGCTGTAACAACCTGGCAGATCGGATTGTCGATGTCGGCAATTGTGCTTGTCGCAGTAGTCCACTCGACCGTCAAGCCCGTACCTTGCTAGTTTGTTGTTTCTCACAGCTCGAGGCAGGATAGGAATAATGTTCATGGTTGGCGCTGGTCAGGTTATTCCTCGACGTATGCCGCCGATGTGAAGCCCAGGAGACCTCTGACACTGTCGCTGTCGGCCTGGACAGGCACGTTGAAGGTGAGCGCGTTAGTCACGAACTGCCACACCACTATTGGAAGCAAGTCGAGCAGAAGCTTTGACCAACAGTTATCCTGCCAGAGTGTGATGAGTAGCAGGCGGCGATTATGACTTGGATGATCTAAGCTTGATGAATACAATTGTAACCGTCAAAAGCTACCGCGACCGCAAGACTGATGTCCAAGTGCGTGTTGTGGAAGGTGGGGAGAAGTAACCTGAAGTAAAACTGGGCGGAGGAAAGGTGAAGAGATCGACGGTGAGCAATCCATAGCCGTGTGACATGATTGCGGTGTTGCTGGGTGGCACGAGAGCAACCACGTCCGTACCCGCATGACAATGGCCCCAGCGGGCAAACGACATGTTTCCAAGGCTCTCCCACTTCTGGCCGTAAACTTCAACCCGATCCATCTGAATCACAGTATTTTTCCAAGCGTGCCCATCGAGCAGCATTACACCACGAATGTGCGATTCCCACAGGCCCGGGGAAGAAGAAAGCACTGCAGTGAGTCTACGACAAGCCCGCAAGCCGAACAAATCTTTGCTTTAAATCTTGCGCGACATGAAAAACTATCTTGACGATATCGAAGAATGCATCACACAAGCCCAGCATTGGACGATGGTAGAAAGCATCGGGGAAAGGGGGAAAAGGAGGGCCTAATTGCTCCGCAACCGCATAGTCGCACATAGATACGCACGTAAGATATTAACGCCGACGACGAGGAAGGAGTCGAGGGCTATAATCAGCGACTATCGCGACCTTGCACTGATAAAGAAGGATGTTGTGGATATATAATGTTTACAGAAGAAATGCCCAATGTTGTGGACGCACTCGGTAGGCAGACGGAGCCGTTGCTGAGCCTAACACTTAGATTACTGAAGTCGGCGCAAGATTGGGAAGCGTCGAAAGAAAGGATGGTACGTAGCCTATGGACTGGTTCGTCACGAGTGAGTGTAGGGGTGCTATATCGAGCATACATGGAGGTTTGACGCTAGTATTAAATCAGCGTGGCGCAGTCTCGCTTCCACTAGTGCGTCATCGCCCGACGTTGACGGGTCGCGACACGCGCGTGAAGGCCAGGCGCAGCACAAGACCATGGAGCTCTGTGGCCCTAGCCGCTCTTCCTCCCATTGCTTCATACCCATCAGCGCGCATCAACCCACACATGCCATGCTCGTCGTGCCTTCTCGTCACCTCCAAGGCCGGATGCAGCAGCCCAGGCCGCCGCGACAACGGCGCCGGCAACGTGCGTGCTGCTGCATGTCTCGGCCTGCGCAGCGATGACCGACCAAGACAGCAACGCGCCCCAGGGCCTGCCTTCTGTCGAGCAGCTGGCTGCTATCGCCCTGGCCCGCCTTGCTTATACTGCCATCACGTAGGCCAGGCTTCGGGACGTCTTTGCTGAGGGCCGGACACGCCAAGTCTCGTTTGAACCAAAGAGAGTGACCATTCCGCGTATGCCGACGACAGACAGGTATGTGCTTGTACGGCCATAGGAACGCGACCGTTGACCAAAACAGATTGCAGAGGCGATTGCGCGTATAGATGACCTCCTCCGAACCCAAGAGCGCTTGACCGCGCATCGAGCCTTCGAACAACATCCGCAGCCGCCTGCACCGAGTTTCCCGACGACCCAACATGGCCGCGCACAGCAGCCTTCGGAAGAGGTCCAGGAACCTTTGTGTTCTCTCGACTCAGCCAATCGCAGCGAGGTCCCCTACGACCCCCAACCATGGCGAATTACAGCCTCTGGGATAGGTTCAAAACCCGACAGGACCACGAACAACAGTCTCCGGGCGAGGGCAAGCTTTCCGTCCAGAGCCCCAAGCCCCTACATCAAACGCCCCGACGCTGGACCACAACCTCGGCGCAGAGGACAGATGCGAGGAACCCGATCTCCCGAAAGAGACAGCCAAAACGATACAGGCGCGCTACGATGGGCTGAAGAAACCCCGATGTTCTGTCGCGCATTGGGGCATCTGGCGCCAGACGAACCCTACGCCGCATAAGCGCTTTGTCCCTGATCTCCGTACCCACAAGGTCACACTAGATGACAAGTCCTTTCGACTCGACCGCTTATTCTCCCACGACGCCACACCGGGCGACATCTTCGCTGAGCTGGAGCCATGGGTTCTCCACCTCTCTTCGAAGCTGGCAGAGCGCAAGTACCACTGCCTTGTTCTTCTTGCCTTCGGATTCTCTGGTCTCGGCAAGACGCGGGTGATGACGGGCGACGCTGCAGGTGGCCCATTTACCTTGGACACGTCTGTGATCGGCTGCACATCCGAACTGCTCTTCAAGAACAAGCCACCAGAGTTTGCTGTTGTTGGACGATTGATAGAGATATGTCCAGGCGAGAAGAATAAGATTGAAGTATATACTTTCGAGAAAGGTCGAGCAACGGTAGCAAAGCGTCGTGACAAGTGGAAGGGAAGTAGATTTCGCCAGGCATTATCACACACTGAGCTCGAGACTCACGAGGCTGCGATGAACTTCGTACATCGATGCGTTAAAGCCCGCCGATGCAGAACGACCCCACGCAACCTTCCCAGCTCGTCACGTTCGCATCGGTTTATCTACTTCGACTTTGTTGCCATGGGCGAGAATAGGGAGCTACTTCTAGACGATATTGATGATCTTTGTGATACCATCGTACTTAGCGATCTTGCCGGTTATGAAACAGGTGAAGTCGAAACAGCCGACATCAACGCGGGACTTGGCGGCAATACTAATACAATGCCGCTATGCTTGCTCACACCCGTTTCCCACCTTTGTCGTTGCGTCGATCTAATGACTTCCGCTCTTTGTCGCGCTCTCTCCGTTGTAAGATGCGTACGCAGCTGGTTGCCTGCACACTAGTCTTTTCCTCCGTCGCCGCGAACATGAGCAGCTTCTGTTGATCTCTTCACACATCTTCGTACCATTCGCTCGCTAGGTCAGTACATACACTCTTATCGTAACCCTTGCTGGCCTCTTCGCAGCCAACACTGCACTTGCAGCATCAGTCCATCATCTCTAGCTCTGCCGTCCGACCATCTTCACGATATCGATTGGGTCTGGGGTCGTCTTCCAACTATTCCATCACGCCAACCCATTCCAGTTCATTGCGCGCTTCCATCGCGCTCCGCGCTTGCAATCCACAACCCCGAAATCAACTCTCATCTTGATCGTGCTTGCATTGTCCTCACCTACACAACCCACCGCGCTAAACGCAGACTCCGGCCTGAACCTCGACAAAAGGTATCTTCATGTCTCTCCGATTCTCCAAGGTGCTTAGTATCATCATTACGATCATTATCGCATTCATCGCGCTACTCCTCGCAAGATTCATCGCAACGCATCGTCCGTTCCTATGGTTAGCTCCTTCCAAGTGGCTGGCGGAGCGATTATCTCGTCGGCCAGACTACTTTCAAGACCCCTGGCAATACGCTACAGCGCTATCGGGAGCAACGTTCAACTTACATGGGCTTGCATGATAGTGGCAACGTACTACTCTTCACTGAACTGGTGGCTCTTGGTTAGCATTGTCATTGATATATCGGTATTCGTGGGGGCGTCGATGTACTTTTTCGGCCCAGATCAACTTTGTGGGCTGGCCCACGGCGAGCAAGAGGCAGCCAACAGCAATACGCTCCCCCCAATGATAATGCGGAAGACGGTGCGAAGTAGATGCTGCAGAAGAGTTCATAGATTCTCATGGGGTCGACGCTAATCATTGGCCGCCATTGTGAACAAGACCCTCAGTCTCCAGCTACTTATCAAGGAGCTCGCCGAAAATGTAGAGCTTCTTCTGTCCCTTCCGAGACACGTGTGCTAATCCAATCATAACCGCGTAAGACATCTCCACCCGGACAACCCACGCCCTAACAGCCACCAGAGCTTCACGAAGGACGTGTGCTTTTGCTGCCGTGTCTCGCAATGTATACGCTCCTTATCTGTACAGCCCTCTTTGTCTTCGGCGCCTGAGTATCATACCTTTGATTAAGGCAGCATCGAGCAGTCCGCGCGGCAATATTTACGCCTACTATGCGTACCCGAACGCCTAGGTGGGTGCTTCCCGGGGATGTTACCTCTATCAACAGGTCCGTATTCAACGGGACGCACGCCAGGACGCCGCGCACCCTGCCAGTGCGAACTCCGAAGCGACGAGAAGATTACCTGTTCCATCAATGGCTTCAATGGGCGGGAAGAACGTGGTATGCGGAGTAGTGAGCATGTCTGAACTCGGCTTTCCGTCTTTCATTGGGCAGTTTTCGTAAGAGAGCAATATTGAATTGGGGGTCGTTTGTAGTTTGGAAATGGCTTCGCATTGTAGTGTAGCCGCTCATTTGGCTGTCATGGAGGCCAAGAACATTACACGCGTTGGAGTGTGTGATCTAATCACAGTGAAGGGGTGGCAACTGCAAAGTAGTAGGCTTGTTTGAATCCCCCTCACGTGCCCTCACGAGGTTTTGATATAGGTCTATATACGATCTAGGTTCTCCAAACATGCATTCTTCGGTCACAGGTCCGAGACCCGTGCAATGTCGCGGTACTTTCTGCCCAAGCTTTGAGCCCCAGGTGCACATGCAGTCTGCAGTCACTGGTTCTTGATCTACTTTTGCGGTAGTAATGCAGTAGGGGTGAACGAGGCTTTTCGTTTTTGATACTGAATGATACACCGAAAGACAATGTGACAATGTCTTGTCTTGTGACTTAGTTCTCTCAAAACCCATTGCCAGCAGTGAGTTCGCTCTTACGTGACATAGCTACCGATCTTGAAGTGACATGAGAAAGACGAGATACAAGACAAGAAGGTCGAACTAGTCGCATCTAGCGAGTCCTTTGAGTTTGGAACCACTCCATAACCGTCACCATCTCTTTTAACCCTAACTAAGTTTAACACGTGCTGAACTAGATGTCCTAGTAGTGGCATTCTGGGCTTAACTTGTCTTGATAGAAGCCGTCTCCGCGTGGATCATGTGCGCGATGATCGTGCCGAATCTGCTATGCGTGGGTTCATGGGTACATTGAAAGTCCCTACGAGAGACACAAGGGTTTTAGAGTGACAATTGATGTCCCACGCTAGAGCGAGGCGACTAGCCTCTGTGGTAGTAGAAAGTGTGCGAGGGGTGGGCTGGTGACGGCGGCAGAGGCACTCAGCTCACGTCGTCTGGTAATGTCGTAGTGACTTCAAGAACATCTTCCTCTTGTTGAGACGTTTGGCTTTCCTCGTAGATGGAGAGATGGATGGTGGGTTGGGTAGCGGCGCTGGGGAGAATCTCGGAGGATGTAATGCTATCGGGATTACCTAGGTATGGATGAACCACGTGGTACAGTGCTCTGCTTCGCCAAACTTGTGACTAGGGTGTAAGCATGAGGAGATGTCAAGCTCGATACAACGGCACTTGAGCTCCTCCCGTAAGTATTTCTACCGCGCTAGCAACGCGACCGCATCGCTGACAATCCAGGCGGTAGGGTGAAACGCGGTGGACACGACGTTGGATGTTGTTTTTCTGAGATACAGTCTTGATTGTGGAGCACTGAAGAGCTGACGTAGGTCCGATGCTTCGCTGTGGGGACGAGAGTGCACTGATAGCTATCCCAGCATGCATCAGAATGGAATTTGGGTGATATGCCGTTTAGTATGAAGGGAGGGTCAAGATGCGGTGAGAACAATATGGATTTTTCACAGATCTGGCGTGCGCAATGCTACAAAGCACCATGTCTAGATGAATTGAAGCGTTGCACATGCAGCTCATGTCCTACGTCGTGCGTTGGCGGCCTGGCCTGCATCTTCCGATAGCAAGTGATGCACTCTGCAACAAGCTGAGCAAAGACTAGAAAGAAGGTGGGAAAGGATGTGGCAGGACATGCATCGGGGCTTCGCATCGCGATTGTATTGGGTACAGTTCATGGGTATACCCATCGATAGTGGTCACAGACCATGCGAGCAAGTTCAGAGTAGCCAAAAAGAGTATGTCCCTTAGCATGAAACGTGACTAAATACCTGAATAAGTTCAACTTGAACACGTCCATCATCGCACCTTTCGGGGCCGGTACCAAAGACCGGCTTCAGGGAAAACTTTGACCCTCAATGGCGCATCATATCCGTTTTCGTCCACTTTGCTGCGTAGATGCCTTCACCGCTTCGTGGAGTACAGGCGTCAGGGGGTCCGTTCTCGCGCTGTGTGCGCAGATGCAACTCTCTACCTGAAAATGGCGGGCTCGGTACTCCTTTTTATTGCGGAGATGGTTACACGATAACCTCATCCACTACGATTTTCCAGCGTCGAAATGCGGCCTCCCACTTTTTCCTCGCGCGGACGTCCCGTTGCAAATGGGGCGCAATAGCCGGGAACGTCATGCTCGAGCTTCAGTACGGTCGGCGTGGAGTGTGACGCTCACTAGTCATTCCGACGACCGGGCAGCAGAAACCCAAGCGCGGTAACTCGCTGTGTTTGTCGCCTTGACGCGGAGGCGAAGAATACGGCACGCGGGCCGAGAGCATCCAAGGATTCCGCGGCCCGCCCTCGCTGACCTGCGACTAGAGCTATCTTGGTCTAGTCAGCGCCTCACCAGCAGGTCAGAGCGTTACCAGACACAGTCCTGGATCCTGCTGCTGCCGCCGCCTCTCCAACTTTGCTGTGCTACCCGTTTGTCAGCCCCCAACTGAGCCATGCGCAGATAGGAAGCGTGGCTGTGCATAGACCATCTCAAATTCGTGGGAACATGGCGCGGGGTACCTTTGCTTCCCAGTCTGGACTGGAGGTAGGTCGCTCATTCCAGGTGAAACGCCTCAGACGATTGGCTCTCGGAGTCATCGCTACACCCGACGATCCCTCTGGCCTGTGGGAAGGGCACTGGGTTCCTGGTGACCTTCAAGGACTTGGATGGTGTGCGACTTCCAATCTCGCCCAGCGCAACCTCCAAGATGGCGAGTCCAGTCCCATGCGCACGCTGGCGCGTTCGCTGGTGGCGGTAGAAGCCTGATATATCTTGCCACAAGGTTCGTAATTCCAGAGTCTACTGCCTCTTAATGTCGCCATGGGTGAGTATGTCCACCCATGAAGATTGGAGGAAGCTGGGGACCTTACCCTCCACCCTTTTGGACCGAACGATGTCCAACGCTGATAGTATCTGTTCTTTTGTTACATGCCTCTCGCCCACAAACTGCTAACTGTGCATTATGAGGCTGGGACGAAACAGTGAGGACATATCCTGAAGTAACCATGCTCGCGCCTCTTTCCATGCTATCTCCAGGAACTGTTGCAACGTCTGCTACTCGCACATGGTTTCTAAGCAGTACGTCAAGCACTGCATATTGCCCTCGCCGTCCCCTTGCCCATGGTTGTTGCATCGTACTTCTATCGAAAGGCTATCGTAATCGAACGTAATTCTGGGTCCGCCTACATTGCGAGGACGGGGAAAGATGAGCGGTTGATGTATAAGCTCACGCTACAAGATGCCCATGGCCATGTCGCGTGCACCGGCGCATCTGCCCTATCTTTGGGACCAGATGCAAACGTGCGCACGGGGCTATCTCAAAGCGTGATGTTGGATGGGACCGGTTCGTCACTCTTCTACCAAGCCTGAACGTTTCCCAGGAACTCAATAAGTATTGGGTGTGGCTCTCTCGTCGATGTATCTACGAGTTTGTCAAAGAGATCTACGGACGTATCTCGAACTGCGCATTCGACCTTACACCACTCGTCCCATTGTCCGTGATCCTACCTAGATAGTCCGGCTTAATCTTGCAAGGGGTTTTTGAGACGCGAAGCAAGAACAAATTTATTCATGCAGCCAAGCCTCAATTGCACGTCGACTGTTCGTAAGGTTATAGTGAGTTTCTTTGCCGTGCTGCTTATCAATATTGCTGCAATGCCGCCGTTCGAGTTTCTCTTTGCTCGAGACCGGCATAGCTTCTTATGTGCAAGCATACCTTTGAGGTGGTTATGGGCGAAAAGAAAAGACAGACGCAGTGGGTAGTTCGCGCGCGACCAGCGTCGACGCTTGCTTTACTATCTATCGACGAAGCAC